TCTAAAAAATTTTTCAATTGCCACAAAAAAAAAAAAACTGAAAATTTTCCCAATTTCATGGAAAATGTGCACGTGTGAGTGTAAGATGAAAAAAATTTTTATGGGAAATTTGTACTATCAAACAAGTCAAAAATTAGAAAATGGAAAAATTTTTCCTGCTTCCGATGATGAAACGGAAAGGAATTATCACATACTACACCGTGACGTGACAATAAATAACGTTATTCTTTCTTGAACTTTTCTCACCGTTGTTGTATTACTGCCACCTACATAATCTTCAGCCTCCCACCACCTGCCACCGACACCACTGTACCCCACCCGCAACGCCGTCGCCGTGTATATTAAAACCCTGCACCACCATCTCCGATTCACCCCAATTCTCTCTCTCGCGCTTACAGATACAGCGCGTGTAAAAATAATATAATAATCATAATATATATGCACACATTCCGCAATTTGCCGTTATGATTTCTTTCTCCTCCGTCCAATCCACAGCCGCGACGGCCTGCGTCGCCGCCACCCGCACCGCCCTTTTACCTCATTACGATTCCCATAAGTTATCCTTCTCACTTCCATCAAAACCATCCCAATTTCCGTGTTATTCCCACCGCCGCCAGCATGGCCTACGCATCAGGGCAATTGACGCGGCGCAGCCCTATGATTACGAGGCCCACCTCGTCCACCGCTTCGTACAGTCCACCAGGCTCAAAATTGCCGTAATTGGCTTCGGAAACTTCGGTCAGTTCCTTGCTAAGGCCTTCATCCGCCAGGGACACACTGTTTTCGCGCATTCTCGGTCAGATTACGCCTCCATTGCAGAATCCCTTGGTGCTGCTTTCTTTTTTGATACTCATGATCTATGTGAACAACACCCTGATGTAATCCTTCTCTGTACCTCTATAATTTCTACTGAATCGGTACTTAGGTCTCTCCCGATCCAAAGGCTGAAGCGCAATACGCTTTTTGTTGATGTTCTATCAGTAAAAGAGTTTGCGAAGAATATTTTCCTGCAGGTTCTTCCTACCCATTTCGATATTCTTTGTACTCACCCAATGTTTGGCCCTGAAAGTGGGAAAAACAGCTGGCAAAATTTGCCCTTTGTATATGACAAAGTTAGGATTGGGAATGAGGACTCTAGATTTGCCCGGGTCGAGAACTTCCTGGACATTTTCCAGAAGGAAGGGTGTAGGATGGTGGAGATGACTTGTGCAGAGCATGATAAATATGCTGCTGGATCACAGTTTATCACACACACAATGGGGAGGATTTTGGAGAAGTTACAATTGGATAGCACTCCAATAAATACCAAAGGGTATGAAACTTTGCTGGATTTGGTGGAAAATACGGCCAGCGACAGTTTCGATCTGTACTATGGGTTGTTTATGTACAATAAAAATGCAATGGAGCAAATAGAGAGATTGGATTTGGCATTTGAGGCTTTGAAACAGGAGTTGTTTGGACATTTGCATGAGCTGTTGCGAAAGCAATTGTTTGGGAAGTCCGAGGAGGAGACGCGGAGGCCAGTGCTGGCAAAGTTACCCAAGAATGGGACTCCTTTGTTACCGGCTCAATCAGAGACCTTGGAGAATAATGATAATTAGGATGGTTTCTATTTGTATTAGGTATCTTCTGAATTGTTCTCTCGAATTAAATGATTCTGTATTGAGTCTATAACATATAAAAATGACTAAATTATTTCATGAGGTAGTAATAAATGATTAATTGCATTCTGTTCGTATTTTCATTCTCAGAATAGAACTTGTAAGTGTGCGTTGTACCTTGTCTTATTGAGAAAAAGCATTTAAAATTTTGAAAATGCTCTACTTCAATGTTTTCATAAATCGATGCCTGTGAAGTGGCAGATCATATTTCTTTTTGGATCGCGTATGTTATATTGAGAAGCTCTAGTTTTCAATTTGGAGAAAAGGGAATATCAAGGGGTCTTAATTTCTACACCCTAAATGCTAAATATAACCAAATGCTCAATAATTGAAGAGCTAAAACAGGAATTGGAATTGTGAGCAACTCCCATAGAGGTTGAAGTGTGCTTAACTAGCTTAAAGACATGCCTCACTCACAAAGCAGAATATTTTTATTTTTGTTAGTGAAGCATCTAACAAAAGATAATAGCCATTATGGTTTGGTCAGAATTCTACTTATGAGATTGACTTCACCAAAGGAGCAGTAATGTCGAAACAACTAAACTGAAATGCGTAAATGATATGCAGGTAGAGGGATTTGTCTAAGATAAACAAATTTGGTTAAATTCTAATCAAACTGTTTGCTTACCTAGATTTCAGAAAAGGGGGTAAAATTTGCGTATTTTTCCCCCATAACATGACAAGCTGATTTGTCGCACTCCAGTCTGCCATCTTGGTATCACTCATATTAGGGGTCTCAGAGACAGAAGGACAGCGGGCTGATCCATGAAGCGACTTCAACACAGAGAAAATGGATTAGGGGAGTGTGTGACTAGAACGAATGATTAGTCTGTAAGATGCATCTTAAATATATCTAATGGTGTTCAATGATCGGAAAATGGCAATAATTTAATCATGACGTATCGTCAATGCTTTTGAGTTTCTTGACCGTAAGCAAGTTATCGTCACCAAACCATTTGTTTTAATGGTTCTATTGCCTTGTCTATGCAATATGGCAAGTAGTTGGGACTTTCCTTGTAGACTATGCTGGATTTACTTGTTGATAATAGATCCGCTTAAGGTTGAGGAACATGAATAATGTTTGTAAGGATGTTTTAGATTTAAGAAGGGTTGTAATTGTGCTTCTTACATTTGAAAACTGGTTAAAAGTAGAATGATAGAAGAAAGTCCTCGTACTGTTTCGCACAATAAATTAGCAGCGTGAGACACTAGAAAAGGTCTTAATGAAGTCTCCCTTAGGAGTTTTACATGGGGAACTTGTGATCAATTCTCTTTGGAAGTTAATCTTGTCAAGAAGTTGTTTGTTTGCTCCATTCTTCTTCAAAGATCTTACTTGTGTTCTTCGAAGCTGATTTTCCTATCTTTACAAGCTAGAGAAGTAAAAATTACACGGTCAGGGTTGGATTGGAATTGACAGTTATTATATAATTAAGTTAGCTTTCGAACCGGCAGAACAAAGTGCTGTATCAACACTAGACTGTCGGTTGCTCTATGCTGAATGCTGTCTTGGAAACGTTGTATTTCTTGAAAAATGAGAACAAAAATGGAGAAGTTAAATATTGGATCATGACGTACACTAACTTGTATGAGTGTTGGAACACTCCATCTATCACCACCTGCTGCCACCATACCACCCATGATCACTGACCAATTGTCGGTAACCACAAACAGCCTGCCAATGATTTACCAATGAATACTTGCTATTTGCTGGTTACAAGTGTTTTAGTAAAAACTACTTTTTCTATGTCAACGATCGTTGAGCAGTTGCTTGCAACCACTAACTGGCCACTGGAAACTAGCGTTCTGTCGTTTGCTTCCATCACCTGGTGACCTATGAACACCTGGGAAATTTCTTTTGGCGACTATTATTCAGTCACCAACAAATATCTATTAGTTTAAGACATTAGGAAAAAGGTAGGTCTAAAACTAGGAAAAATTATCTTAGAAGAGTTCGTTCATGGAAAATATTTTCCTAAGGAATATCAATATATCATTATCCATCTAATTTCTTATAGGTTTGCAAAATACAATTGTAATCAGAGGTCACTTCATTGATCACTTATAAATGCCAGAGGAAAAGTGTCTGTGTCGAATGTCAAAAGTTAGCCATAGATGAAATATAAAAACCTTCTATCGACTAATTTGTGCATTGTGATTTTGTTATAGCTGTTCATTATTTCCCTTGTTATTGCTGCTTTTTAGAATTCATATCGTTGACTAAAACTGCATTCTATATTGAAATTATGGTATATCGTAAAAGATTTATTTATTTATTTTTAAAACATGATATTAATAAGACAAGACAATTCCCTGATAAAAACTATCCTTTTTATGCGAACTGTTGGGTCAATGATGAAGGACTTAGTTGGATGACCAAATCTAATCAAATGTTTGTAAAGGAAAGTTCTATATTTTGGAGCAATGGTTGTTCTAATATATTGTGATTTGCTTGAGAATTAGTGTGTCTTGGCGAATGTTCTCCGTTTATGTACTTAATTGCACCAATTGTATCATTATAAATGCAATTCCATTCTGCAATCATGTTAATTCCCAGCATTTCTCTTCCAGTAGATGGTAGCTCAAATTGCCACTTGTTGCTCAACATTTTATCCATTTGGTTGATTTTTGATTGAAAATTAAACAGAAAGAGAGAGAAATTACGATTGGTCCTAAGAGTTTATGAAACTGCTTTGATCAGCTCTGTGATGTAATTCGAAAGATTGAGATCAAAAGTAATCTGCTATTTGTTTGTCTCAACATTTTTAGCTGTCTAGCTATGAAACTTCTAACTTTTTACTAAATCCTACAAAGGATAGTACGAGATACTTAGATAATGGGAATCATTTCTTTCTAATGATTAATGATCCTTGTGTTGTATACTTCGTCATTGCTTACTGATTTGTTCAATCAGGTTCAGTTTTGTCCTGAAGGTGTCGTATATTTTTCCCATGCTGTAGGAATGGTGTCAATTCTACTGATCAAACGACAGCTGCTGGTATATGGACTCTGGTATACTGCTTATAACTTAAGTAAATGAATTTGTTCCCTTTTCTTTTAAATGTATTTAGCCCTTGTTTGACATCCATTTTTTCCCCATTCTCATTCTCATTTTTTTTCTCTTTCTTCATTTCAACCACAAATTCTATCAATAAAATAATATTACACACAAACCCAAAAATTCTCCTTACTTTTTAACCACACATTCTTCCATCAATCACTATTCCAAATCAAATTTTTTTCCAAAATGGGTGTCAAAAGTCTATTTCTGGTATGCTGCCATGTTGTAGGTTTTTATTGTATATGAGCTGTTGTATGCAGTTTCATTAATGTCGTAAATGAAGCCTTCTGGGCTGGTTTTGTTTGTGTTTTTGCAAATCATTTCTTGACAAATTTAGAGGTTAATGTGTTTTCATGCTCATTTTTTCTCAGGGGCTTCCTTACTCTGTTTCTTGACTATTTTCCTACTAATCTTCGAACTTCAGAGCAGTTTTTTGAGCCCGAGATAGGTGAAAATTTATTTTGTTAACTGTGTCTTCAATAGTTTCAAGAAGTAATGTTTTTTTTTTTTTTTGGAAAGTTTCAGATATTGCTTTAACGGCATTTTTCGCTTTTCTGCAATCGACCTGTTTTTTTTCATTAATCTTGTCCCTTCCCATTTTATTGATGACTATCACCACAAATTTTGGACGATATAGAGAAAGGGATACAATCAGTCGAAAGTCTATTTATGGGTCACGCCATAACAGAGTTATGATGCAACAAAATTGCAGACATAATTCAAAGAATTCTTATTAAGGTAGACTTGAAACTTGACATTATTTAGAAATAGAAAGAAATCAAAAGTTTGTCCATTGGACCGTCCAAACTGTCCAATTCTGCGTACCAAAACATTAGAAAATTTATACCTTTGCTGCATCAATAGGTCTCTTTCCCAGCTGGTAATTTTGAAAATATATACTGACATAATCTTTAATTGTCTTGTACATTCTTGGGTTTTCCTCATTGATGAGTTTCTCCACAGGACAAATCTCCATTTCTGATCCCGGTATAAAAAACACAGCCAGTGTATTTCTCTCCCTCTCTGAATTAGTAACCACCCTATGCACAGGGCTCTTAAATATTCCATTGCTCATTATCTGCAAAAATCATTTCTAACTACGTCAAAATAGACTCGATCATGGTCGAGTATGTAGAACAGGAGTTGACTTGTCGATTGTAAAATATGTTGAGAAAGATGATCAAATTATACCTCAACTTGATCTCCAACATTAACAAGAATAGAGTAAGGAACAACTGGGACTCTAAACCATTGATCATCTTTCAACACTTGAAGGCCTTCAACTTCTCTGTCTTGTAACAGGAAAGTGATGGCTGAGGCATCGGCGTGAGGTTTAACGCCAAGTGTGAGATCAGGCCTCGGACAAGTTGGGTAGAAGTTGAATCTCGCTATGATTGCCGCGCTTTCACTTTCGCCGTACTGTTGGAGAAAGCAATTCTCCTCCAAGTTTAGTGATCTTGCCATGGCCTTGAGAAGAAACTCATTCAAGGTTTTTAACTTCATTACGTATTCTTCCAAAACCCCCCTGCAAGATTTAGACACATTATAGCTACTATATTGATTCATCAGTCATAAATAATCGATATTAATTTTCGGATGATTCATACTTTTCCAACACGAAAAGAACTACTCGCGTTTATTTGGAATAATGAACGGTCTTTTTCTTCCGTTTATTGTCGTACAAAGGAACTTTCAGACCCATAGAGACCTTGATATGATACGGGCGTCTAAGAGTGGCCGGGAGCTTTGCGGGGGACGTATTATTTCGGAGAAATGACCATAGGACGATACCCTTAGAATGAGAAGAAATTAAATTGGAACCCAAATTGACGTAATTATATAATAAGGCTTGACTCGATATCTAGTATTGAGCAGTATTACACAAGATAACAAAGAAGAATTGAGTTGGCTTCTTTTTCTTCTCAAATCTTGTCGATTGGTATGTAGTACAAGCATGCCAAATGTGACATCAAAATCTCTTTCCCACCCAACTCAAAACATCGGCATCGTGTTTCGATGTTTGGAATTGAGTATCAAGAATAGAAATTCAAAAAAAAATATCTATTAAACTAGCAGCAAAGACCAAGAATTTGATTCTTCATTTCAAGTGAAAATCAAAATGCAAATGGGCTGTACTTACTGAAGACTTTGAGGATTTTCAGGCCAAAACTCGAGCCTTTTCTTATCTTCAGGGCTTATAGTAAGATACAACCGATCCGTCCAATCAAGAATTTGATGTTCTGAAAGTACTGAATCAGTTCCATATCCATCAAGGTCATCAGCTGATCTTCCATATTTCTGCTTCTCTTCCATTGGAAGTGCAAAGAATTCTTTGCTCAGTTGTCTCACTTTGTCCAAATATATATTGGACATTCCATGATTTGTTGCCTGAAATTTACAAAGTTTGACAATATTATAATGATGAACTAAACTTTATTCTTAATACGTTGTAAGTCGGCTAAATGGATCCTTTTTCTCCTCTAATACCCTTTATATATAGGAGGAAAATATAGGCGATGTCCTTCTCTCAAAGTGTGGTGGAGAGGTAAAGGAGCAAGAATTACCAAGTGAGCAGTAGATCATACTCGATTGAGAACCCTAAGTTCGTTTTCCTACAAAGCATAGCCAAAAATATGCTACAACACTTAAAAAAATTCCGCCTCGGGGGCTGCCTAACAGACCACCGGCCGACATTTCTGCAAAGGTCGAACCGTGGCCGAGATGAAAGTTTCACACATCTAACAATTCTCACATCTAAAAAAGGATAGTTGTGTAATGGCGATAGCCATAGTAAAACTTTGTCAAATCTAATGATTATTATTGCTTTGAAATCATACCTGAAAGCAACCACAATAATTGAGAGCTGACTGAAGTTTCTTGAGCTCCTCGACTCCGGCGGGCGATGGCGAGATCAGAAGGCTCAGATCAATTGATGGAACATCTAATAATGGAGCTGAGGCACAGATGATCCCTCCAGTACTGCTAACTTCTTTATGGATATATCTTTGCGGTACTTCATTGTAGCCTTTCTTGGACAGTTCTTGGACTGAGTTGGACAGAGATTCTATGTTTGCCGGAGGAGGCGGAGGCAGCGTTTCAGCCATGGTTTTATCTCCACTTTCGACAGTGACAAAGATGGAATTTAACAGAGGAAATCCCTAACAAATAAAAGAGCCACTTTTGAAATCACTATTCACAATTTCGTCCAGTCAGGCGACGTCGTTTTGGCATTAAAAAAAAAAAAAAAAAAGATAAATCCCAATTTCCATTTCTTTACGCAACATCCATGCCTACTCCTCTATTCTTCACGCTTTCTTCTCGCCATCTCT